AGAATGCTGCTGGTAATTTTATGGGTGTTACATTTAATCTGTAGGTTGCCTTGGGTAGAATGGACATCTTAACAATGTTGATTCTTCCAATCCATGAACTTGGGATATTTTAAAAAAAGATTTCTTTCAAATTGCTCATTTACAGTGCACCTGGTCACCCATGAGCTCTGATGGAGATGTACAAGGAGGTTATTGTTGTTTTCATGCCTTCTGACACAACAGCCATTCTGCAGCTCATGGATCCAGGAGTCATTTTGACTTTCAAATAGTATTATCTCAAAAATACCTTTTTATAAGGCTATAGCTGCCATAGATAGTGATTCCTCTGACTGATCTGGAAAAAGTAAATTGAAAGCCTTTTGGAAAGGATTCACTGTTTTAGATGACATTAAAACCCTACATCTTTAAAATATAAATAAACAAGCATTCATGGTTTTTGGGAAGAGGTCAAAATATCAGCATTAGTAGGAGTTTAGAAGAAGTTTATTCTAACCTTCATGGATGACTTTGAAGGATTCCAGACTTCAGTGGAAAAAGTCACTGCAGATGGAGTGGAAATAGCCCGAGTATAGCAAGAGAACTAGAATTAAACTTGGAGCTTGAAGATGTGAATTGCTGAAATCTCATGATCACACTTGCACAAATAAGGAGTTGCTTCTTAGGGATGAGCAAAGAAGGTGGTTTCTTGAGGTGGAAGCTACTCCTGGTGAAGAAGCTGGGGACATTGTTGAAATGACAATAAGAGATTTAGAATATCATATAAACTTAGTTAATAAAACAGCAGAATTTGAAAGGATCTCCAATTTTGAAAGTGTTACTCTGTGTAAATTGCCATCAGATAGCATTGTGTGCTACAGAGAAATCTTTGTAACTTCATGGTCTTATGAAACTGTCACAGACACCCCAGCATTCAGGGACGACCACCCTGATTAATCATTCAGCAACCATCAACCTGAGATCAGATCCTCCACCAGCAGAAGTATTACAACTCATTGATGGCTCGAATAATTTTAAGCATATTTTTGCAATAAAGTATTTAAAAAATACTAAGTAATGTATATTTTTTAAATATAACGTTATTGCATACTTAATAGACTGCAGTAAAGTGTAAATACAAATTTTATATGTACTGGGAAAAATTTGTGTGAATCGCTATATCATTATATTATTTTATCTTGATTATCTGGAACAGAATCTGCCATAGCTCCAAGGTATGCCTGTATATCTTGTAGGAGTTTTTTGTTTACATACACACACACACACACACACACACACACACACACACACACACACGTATATATATTCTTTCTTGTTTTCTAGGTAAATCTTTACCTCTTGCTTATTCTGTCTTACTGAGATGGTAATGGTTATCAGTTGTTTAATAGCAGCGTTGGTAGAAGGTCTTTTTGTCTTACTATTTGATTTTATGTATGATAACTGTTGCAGGTCATTAAGAAAATGATGTTAATTTAAGTGAAAAATACTTGATAAAATATTTTCAAATAATAAACTTAACAGACACTTTTTAACCCTTTGCACTCAGATTTCTCCTCTGAGGGGGCATAAAAGAAATTGCTGGTGATTATACAGGACATACTTATGCCAGAGCAAATTTTTCAGAATGTAGGTTTCTTTTACGTTTTCCCTCAAATTGTGTGAAGAAGCAAATAAAGAGATAGAATATGTGAAAAAATGTCAGCTGACTTTATGTAGAAAGAGAATGTTTGAAGTGCTTTCACAGTAGTACACAGACTGGACAATAAATTACATGTTATTAATGTAGGGGGAAGAAAATAAGAACACATTGTCTGCTCGAATAGAAAAACACCAGGTAGATGATGTCAAACAGATTACTGTTGCACAACATGTATCAATGAACCTACAATGCACATCACTTACTGTTTCACATGGTTTTCTTCTTTTGTCTTTTGATACAGTGAATTGTCTTGAGGTTTTCTACTAATGAACTACCCTTGCATTCTCTGGATGAACCCTGCTTAATTAAATAATATAGTATATAATAGAATATATAATGGCATATTTATGTTCTAAGATACTGAATTTGACTTGACAGTTTAGGATTTTTGCACTTATGTTTATCAGGTTTTCTCCACAGTTTTTTGTTATGCTCCTCTGGTATCAGCATTGTCGTTTAATGAATTGGGGCCAGGTGTGGTGTCTCACGCCTGTTAATCCCAGCACCTTGGCAGGCTGAAGTGGGAGGACTGTTTGAGTCCAGGAGGTCAAGACCAGCCTAGGCAACATATTGAGAGCTCATCTCCACACACACACACACGCGCGTACACACACACACACACGCACACACACACATCAAGACCAGCCTAGGCAACATATTGAGAGCTCATCTCCACACACACACACACACACACACACACACACGCGCGTACACACACACACGCACGTACATACACACACACACACACACATATACACACACACACCAGGCATGGTGGTGCACATCTGCACTCCCAACTACTCGGGAGTAGCATTTGAGATCAGGAGTTTGAGACTGGTTAGTCATGATCCTGCCTATATATTTCATCCTGGACAACAGATCAAGACCCCAACTCAGAAAAAAAAAATGAATTGGTTAACTTGTAATCTTATTTCTATGTTGTAATACTATTTATATGGAATGGAAAATGTCTGTTCCTTGAACTTTTTTTTTTTTTGTTATAACTCTTGTAAAATCTTTTAGGGTAGGCGCCTTTTGAAACATTCAGTCTTTCTTTATGGATTTATTGTTTTCTATGGTCATTGGTCTATTTAGGATTTCTTTTTCATGAGTCAGTTTTTTAGTAATGTTTGTTTTCTAAGGAAATTATTCCTTTTTCCAGGTTTGAAGTTAATGGTATAAAAGTAAACACAGCATTATTTTGTAGCTTTTTTATGTTCCCTCTAGAGTTGTATTCAAGCTTAATCCCAATCTTTATTATTTTTCTCTTGTATCTTATTTTCATGATTAGACTCACCAAAAGTTTGTCTGGTCAGTTGCTCCTTTAGAGTCACCTTTTGGCTTTCTTTTCTTTTTTTTTTGAGTTGGAGTCTCACTCTGTCGCCCAGACTGGAGTGCAGTGGCTGCTCCCGGCCACCGCAGCCTTGACCTGCTGGGCTCCAGCGATCCTTCCGCTTCAGCCTTCTGAGTAGATGGAATTACAGGTGCACGCTACCACGCCTGGCTAATTTTTTTATTTATTTATTGTAGAAATGGTCTCGAATCCGCGGGCTTGGGCAGTCCACTCTCCTCAGCCTCCCAAAGGCGCAGGATTACAGGCTGAGCCACCGAGCCCAGTATTTTGGCTTTATTGATAGTATACTTTTAAAAAAAATTCAGTATTTTGGCCAGTCATGGTATTTCATGCTATAATCCCAGCACTTTGGGAGTCTAAAATGGGAGTCTAAAATAGGATGATCTCAAACTCCTGCTTGAGCCCAGGAGTTTGAGATCATCTTAGACAACATAGTGAGTGAGCCCTCTTCAAAGAAATAAAAAAAATTAGCCGAGCTTAGTGGCACACACCTGTAGTCTCCGCTACTTAGGAGGCCTGAGGCAGAAGGATCGCCTGAGCTCAGGAGACCAAGCTTGCGGTAGCTGTGATCATGCCACTGCACTCCAGCCTGGGTAACAAAGTGCGACCTCGACTCAGAAAAACCCCATTATTTTCATTTTTCATGTCCCTTCTCCCCCTTCCTCCCTCCTTTATCTTTCATCTTGGGTTAAAAACTAGTACCTTTGGAGTTTGGATCTGCTTTTCATTTGCCTGAGAATCTCTACAGTTATGATAAATATCATTGTAATAGATGAGTACTTTTTTAAGTTCTTTTGCTAAGGTTACAAATGGCTTCATTCTCAGTGTCAAGCATATTTTTCACAAAGGAATTGTCATGCCCTAGTTTTAGATAGTTCTATATCAATTTGGATGTTGAATTTTAGGAATGAACTTTATAATAACTGTAGGCCACTTCACCTGACTGGGTGAGTATGTAATGTTTTTTACGGTATTTGAAATGTTCTTTTCCAGATTGAATTAGAAACATATTTTTGTTAACATGATTTAAGAAATGGGGTTGTACTCTTTTACTAAAGTGGATAGATTATTCTTTGGTTACTGTGTTCCGTGTGTATTTCTTTATTGATAAAGAGCATTGGTTTTCAAACTTCAGCATGTATTAGAAACACCTGGAAGGACTGTTAAAAGAGATTGCTGGGCCATACCATAGAGGTTCTGATTCATTAGTTCTGGGATGAAACCTGAGAGTGTGTTTGTTTGTTTTGTTTTTGGAGTAATAGTCTCACTCTGTTGCCCAGGCTAGAATGTAGTGGCATGCTCATAGTTATTGCAGCCGCAAGCTGCTGGGCTCAGGCGATGCTTCCACCTCAGCCTTCCAAGTAGCTGGAACGACCGGTGAGTGCCACGATGCCCAGCTAATTTTTTTATTGTAGAGATGAAATCTCACCAAGTTGCCCAGGCTGGTCTCGAACCCCTGGGCTTAGGCAGTTCTCTCGCCTCTGCCTCCCAAAGTGCTGAGATTACAGGTGTGAGCCACCATGCCAAGCGTGCATTTCTAATAAGTTCCAGGTGATGCTGCTACTGCCAGCCCCAAAACCACTTTAGAACTACTGACATAATTATATTTTTAATAAAGCATAGTCAGTTTAATTCAATCCAGACTTGCTTTTTCAAATTTATATATTCTTTCATTGATGATACATCATATGGCTCTGTTATACTCAAGATTTTTTGTTTTATTGTTATTTTAAAATTCTGTTAAGCAAAAATAAGGGACTATGAAACAAGTTAGAAAAAATATTGTAGTTGTTGAAGCTGGGTCTTGAGTACATTGAATACAATGATGGTTTCTAATGCTCCCCTCTACTTTTGTGTATGTTTGAAAATTTTCTTAGTGAAGAGGTTTTATTAATACTGTATTGTTTAACTTATGTGGATATAACTTTATTGTATTTGATTTTTTAATAGAGTAAGGACAAGATTGCATCCTACAGCAAAACTCCAAAAATTGACCGAAGTGATGTAGGAAAGGAGATGAAAGAGAAATCATCCATGAAACGTAAACTTCCTTTTACCATTAGCCCATCAAGAAATGAAGAACGAGATTCAGACACAGGTAGAATAATTTGCTGTTTTCTGGTAAAATCTTAATCATGCTTTCACTGTGATTTTCCTCTTTTGTGCATCACTTCTTGACACTCCAGTTTATAGGAATATTTATACTTCAGTATATCAGATTTATAATTGTGGGACAGAAATTCACCTATTTATCACCCAAATGTGATAAATATCTCTAACTAGTGATGGAAACAATTTCTTTATTCCTGATTCTTTGAATGAGTATTGAAAATCTCCTACCACTTTTGGAACTTAATTTTTTGGTGCACGGTCAAATGACAAAAATTTATTCAGTGATAAGGAACCATTAGGATGTGGTAGGTTGGAAAAAGAGTTGTTGAAATTTTGTGAACTTATTAGATACCAAGAAGTTTAGGCACTTTAGATTCAAAAATGAATTAGAAATATATATTACATGCACACAAAAATTGAGACTAACTCCCTCAGTGCTATTTATAGTACTTTTGTTTCTCAAAACTCTTATCAGAAATGTATAGTTGAGTTCAGTCATTGCCAATTATTCATAATAGATGAGAACCTTATTATTGCTGTGTAATGAATTAGGCTGTGTTTTTTGCCCTGAACTAATCATTTCTTGAAACTAATATAAACTTGAATGTTTGTATGTACTTATCATAATTGTTTTAGTCCTTGCATTAAATAATCATCAGCTTCACTCACAGAAAGTTAGTGTTCCATTCTAATTTTATAAACAGAGATTACATCCTTCTTAATATCTTTGTAGACATTTTAATTTTTAATACAAAAATGATCTTAACTTTGGAAACTGAAAATTCTCTAAAGATATTTGAAACAGCCTATGCTAACATAGCTTTAGAAAATACTTAATTTGTGGTACATGCTTTTAGTCTCCTTTTATGTGCATTTTGCTTTAATTCTTGGATTGAATTAAAAATTGTTCTTAGACACTGGTGACTTTTTTTAAACTTTGAACATTACTCTTTCTTATAGTGATTAAGAAATTTGTGTTTGTTCATTTTAAGATACATTGGTTTCTTCTAGAGAGTCAGAATCTTTTTTTTCTGAAGCATGACTTTCCTTAGCCCTAAGCATATTCTCTAGCTTTCACTAAGTCTCTTAGCCAAGAAGAAGGTACTTACGTGCCTTTGGATAGCTGTTTAAGATTTAATTCTTCTCACGTATTCTCCTTAAAGTTTTTTTTGCTAGTCATTTTAAAATTATACTACCCAGATTTTGTTTTCCAATGACAATGATATCTCTGATAGTAGTTTGAAGAAGAAATTTTGATAAATTCAAAGTATGTTAACACTTTTTAGGAATAAATAAGGTTTCAAATAATAAACTTCCCATGAGAGCCTTTGTTTCTAGGTCAGGTGAATTATACTTCTTCTACTTAGGGTAAAATAAAGGAGAAAATGTAACTTAGGAATACATGAACTTTAGGCACTGAATAAATGTAATCCAATTCATATTTTAATAATTGGATTACATACCTAATTTTGAAAAGTGACATGCCATTGCCAAACAAAATTTTGATGGATTTTAAGACATAGATTGCTGACTCTTGAATGGTGCAGGGATTAGAGGTGCCAACCTCCTTCTTCCCCACTTCACAGTCAGAAATCCATATATAATTTTTGACTTCTCATGCATAACTACTAATAGCCTGCTGCTGACTACAAGCCTTACCAATAACATAAACAGTTGATTAACACATATTTTGTATGTTCTGTGTATTGTATACTGCATTCTTTCAGTAAAGTAAGAGAAAAGAAAATGTTACTTAAGAAAATCGTAAGGAAGAGACAATATATTTACTATTTATTAAGTAGAAGTAGATTATCATAAATATCTTCATTCTTCACATTGAGCAGACTAAGGAGGAGGAGGGAGAGGAGGGGTTGCTCTTGCTGTCTTAGGCGTCAGAAACTGAAGAAAATCCACAAACAAGTGGATTCGAGCAGTTCGAACCCATGTTGTTCAAGGATTCACTGTATTTATAATTTTAGTAAGGTGAATCTGTAAATTTTAGTAAATAATAGATTAAGACTTTGGTTTTCCATACCACAGGCTACAGAAACATTAAGAATTTCCTTAGCCCCAACATGTGTTATTTGCATTCCAACTCTCTTTTACTTTTTTATAATTTAAAAAAGTAGAATTTAGGTACCAGCAAGTGAGATTTTCCATAGGAAAGATAAGTACAGCACCAAACTTCATATTTGACATTGATCTTTTTAATGGATTGTGCTATATTTTAAGCTACAAGGTGAAATTATGAATGAAGATTAAGAGGGGGAGATATTTACAGGATATATCAAAACTCAATATAAACCGGACTCGGTGGCTCAGCCTATAATCCCGTGCCTTTGGGAGGTTGAGATGAGTG